ATACAAAAAAATATTATTATTATTATTTAGTATTATTATATATAAGAAAACAAATAGTAATCGGTGGAAGTTGAAAATTTTAACAATCCCGTGATTATTTTCATAATCACGTGAATTGTTGTCTGATTTCATTGGCTATAAATAACCAATGAAAGCAAGACACAGGGGAAGAAGAAAAGATAAAAAATCATTGTGAATTTGAATTCTGAATTCGAGCATTACTGTTGGGTTACTATTTGGGTAATATTCATTTTTCTTATACTTTTTTTGCACCTAGTAAGATATTAATTTTTTTTTAAACAAATTAAAAAATACTAAAAATATTCCAACCGTTAGATCTAATAGTATTTACATCTGAGCCTTTGATTTCTTATGATACAATAGGCTTTACCACACCCGATTAAACCCCAAATCAATCTCAGCCTTTCAAATAATCTGCCCTTCGATTCGGTTGCGCCACGTCAGCCGGTGTACGAAGCACTCGGTACACCGGGACACACCAGATCGCAGACCATTCACTTCTGACCGTGCGATCAACTTGAAGAACAAACGAATCACAGCCGCACGATCTGTTCATCCGAGATCCAGCGGTCACTGCCTTCAGAAGCACGAACGCACCATACACTCGTCCACACCGTAGCACAACCTAGAGCTTCTCTCTCCTCTCGCCGGCGATTCTCTCTGTCTCCGCCGATCTACCATTTCCGGCCGTTTCAAGCCGCGAAACCACCACAGAAACGTGAATCGCCTCCTCTGAAGTAAAACCCCGTTCGTTTTACAGTTTTTCACTGGCGAGTTTGGCCGGAAAAAGGCCGCGACGGTCATCGGCCAATCGACCTTCAAGTCGTCGATTCTCCCTCCTCAGCCATCAACGGCCAACGAGACCACCACCATCAGAATCCTCGTCCTCATATCTACCAGAATCGATCATCTTTTGGCCGGAAGCTTACCGGAAAATTTCGCCGTCGTCAACAGTAACCGCGCGTGAGCCTCGCGCGCCGCAAGTGGCA